CTTTTTCAAAAAGCCCATCTGCTATTTTTGCTACATATTTTTAAATGTGAACCAGTGGCTCAACAAAAAGCGAATGCATTATAAAAATCTAAACAATTAAGACACTAAGATATATGTTATTTAATATAATAATTGATAATTTTGACTCATCCCTTTTCTTAAAAATTGTTTAAAGGCAGAAATGTGAAGTGCAGCTCTTAAAAAGGTCTTAAATTTGATTTTAAAAATCCTGCAGATACCAGGTTATTTTATGGTACCATTTGGAATAACTTTTTTTTTTTTTTTTAATTAAGCCCTTTTTAATTGTCCTTTTAGGTTGTTTTGAGCATGTTCTATAGGCTACTGATAAAAAAAGGACCTCTGTATGTTTGTTTGTTGCAAATTTACAGATGATGCAATTGAAATGTTTACACTGGCTTGTCAGGGTAATATTTCTGTCCACTCACAACAAAGTTTTCCTTCTGAATTAGCATAACTGCACAAGTTTTATACTTAATAAAATCTTTAAAAACAAATGACATTAGTTATACTTTAATTTCCTTCAATAAAAAGGAAATTGAGTAAAACCGTGTGAAAGGTGTGTGGACGTGGATTAGTAATCGGGCCCCTTGGTATAAAGGAGAAAAACTATCAAAGTTGCCCATCCCTGACTTAAATGATAAAACCATTGCCAGGGTTACATAAATATCTGATCTTACCTTTTTTAAGGTTTCCTTCCGTGTGTGATTGTACATTGCTGACTCCTTCATCTTCAGGGTTACTATCTGCTTCATCTTCATCACTCCCTGACTCATCTTCATCATCCACGCCATTGTCTTCATCCTCTTCGTCTTCCTCTGCAGATGCATCTTCATCTCTCAATTCCTCTTCATCCTCTGCTGAAGTTTGCATCGTGCTTCTTTTACTAAGTAAAGCAAAGTTTCTCTCCATCTCTAAAACGTCCTCTTCATCATCTGAACCCTGATATTCCATTTGAGAACATATCAAATGAAATATGTAAATAAATAGATTTACTTGTTAATGGTTACTTAAGATCAATTAAATGAATGCTGAATAATCTTGCACAGATGCATTAAAACTGGTCTTAATAGGGTTGTCAAGTACAAAATTATAATTTCAAATGATAGATTTCTACAGACAATATGAATGTCCTATTGTTATTCAACTACAGTAAGAACTATATGAAAAGCTGCATTTGTTTATTAGTATTTTCCTGAAATGCTCGTACTTACTGTGGTGGTGGTTTTATCCAGACATCTGTGCTTAGGTACAACAGACAAACATGCCGATAGAATGAGGAAAATTTTAACATGACATTTTTATTAAAGATGTAATGTAGTGCCACTTAACGCAAAGAACAATAAAGCCTAAAATGTATAATTGCAAAAAAATATATATATGTTGTATTGAACATTAATGGAGCAACATATTTTGTGTGAAAATAAATCATTCAAGTTGTTTATTTTGTTTAAAAATTGTATAAATATATGAGGTGGCAAGAGGGGCCTTTTACCCCACACACGGGGAAAAGGCACACGGTATTTATACAAATACTTCAGCTAAAATAATGTTTTTTTTTTAAATAATGTCTAAGT